TGAAATTGATCATTTTAAAAAATATAATGCAAGTTTTCTCTACAATTGTGGCTATGACTGTTAATATGCTTGCGCTAAAACGAAAATTGAGTTACATCATTGAAACTGATTGTATTAAACTATTATTTGAAATTATACTAATTTTTACAATTTATTTAAATACTTGCATATAACCAGAAGAGGACAAAGTATCCATACTAAAACTATTTTAGTAAAAATTACTTTTATTGTTACAAAATAATGTTTCATATTAACAGAATTAATTTCTGAAACTGAACAGTCAGGGTGAAATGACAAATGTTACTACAGAAATGCGAATCACAAACGAAAGAGTTTTAGATCCGGTGAGTCATCAGAGAGGAATTTGTCACTTTAACCAATTCATACTGAAGTTTTAATTGAACTTTACACTTTAGCTGTTGTTAAAGCAAACTTAAATTTAAACCACTTAAAAAAACTAGTATTTTTAATTTATGAATGTAGGTGTATCTAGAAAGACAAAGTTCTTACAGATATCCAACACATCATAACTCATCCTATAATATTGTAAAACCGACCTTTTTAAAAACATTCTTAGTTTATGAAAATGAAGTCATAAATCATATCATTCTACAGAGTCATTTCAGGGGAAATAAAAACATTATCGTCATCGCGAATATGTGTATCTCGCTCATAAACACAATAGCCATCAGTAGACTACCCGTTACACCTGAGCTATAGGCATATATTTTTGAATATTTTTTTTTATTTCATACTTACTTGTTTGAGGATTATATTTTATAAAATAGTTATTGGTTAAAGATAGTGTGCTTTGCTACATGTTAAACAATATTAGTAAAAACAAATAGATGGAAGAAGGGTTAAACAATTTTAGTAGAAAAACCAAATAAACAAATAGATATCTAAAAATCCATAACATTTAATATAACATAAGCTACCAGTACTAATTAGAAAAACTAAAAAGTATATATACATTATTATATGAGAGAGATAGATAGAGAGAGAGAGAGAGAGAGAGAGAGAGAGAGAGAGAGAGAGAGAGAGATGCGCACACGGGGCTTTTATATATTAGGTAGTGGTAGTTATGAACAGTAATGTACACTAATACATGTGTTCTGAGAGTTACTACTCATACCTTACTAAATAGGAGTTATGGTCCACATAAGTAGTTATTAAAATATACTAACAGCGAACCTGCGGGTATTTAATTAAACGCATTACATATTTTCTTTCTACGGTTAATTTTAGTAAAACATGGCGTATTGCTCAGTTAGTCTGCAATTCAACCTTTTAGTGCTATAGACATCATAAGATTGGCTGTGCACTACATGCGTGTAAGGGTTGTCTGGAACACTGAATGTAGTTAAGCAGTAACAGAATTGGCAAACACAGCGCTTGAGTATGTCGATCAATACATTCCTCTACTGCTGACGTTAGTGTAGATTGACACAATGGTTGTTCAGATTTAGTGCCACAACCGTCTGCTCGAATTCAATTTGCATTAAACATGTTGAAGTAATGCAATTTATTAGTTCAATGTTTAGTTAATTCAATGAGCATAAAGCAATCAAAAGCAGTGATTAGAGTGTCGCGAATGTGAGAGAATATAATTTAAATAAGAACTCATTGTGATCATGACCATTTGATAACAAGAACATAGAAAGGTAAGTGAAACGTTATTTTAAATATCATTTGAACACGATTACATTCAAAACGCTATAAACTGGAAGATTAACTGTAAAAAATGGACATTCTCTAAGCAACAGTTAAGTTTGTAAAATAATTGTTAAATGTTATCAGAGAAAACAATGAAATATATTTGTGCTATTGGTGTTAAAAATTGAAATCACATGTCTGTTTGCATTTCAGATGCGTATTTTGTAATATGTAGTCATAGAAGATGATTTTTTTTTAAATTTATTAAATCAAAATATTTTTTTGTTTTAGCATTTTTACATCTAAAACGAATAGTTGAGACTGAATGAGACAAGATGCGATGACCTTTATCCACCTTGTTTATATCGATTTGTTTCGTCTTAAAAGGCTATCTTTAAAAGCCTATTTTGTTTAAAACTTCAAAAGAATGTGTAAGATTTTTATAGAAATTCTACTTTAAAAAAATCAATTGATCCTACTTTAAATAAACAGAAATTAAACTAAATTTAAAGAATTAAATAAAGAAAAATACTAACTCTATTAGAATAATAAAATAAACTGTACTGTAAAGTCTTACTTTCTATATGTCATATAAGTTGATCTCTTCTATTAACTGGCGATAAAATCTTTTTTTTTTTGTAAATAAAGCTCTGTTCTGATTCAACAGATATATTAATACTATTTAAATTTTTTTTATAGTATTTTCATCAAACACAGCACAATAACATTGTTGGCATTGAAAAAAAGCTCTAATAAAAATTCTAATACGTAGCCTACACGTAGGCCTACATTATCCCCATTCATAAATTCATCATGCGTATAGAGACAATTTCAAACACACGTTAGTATCAGTTTCTTCCAGGCATCTCTTCGGGGGTGGTGCCCCCCCCCCCGAAGAAATTCTACCGCCCCGCCCCCCGAACGAGATGGAATTTATATAGTAAACATATAATTTTACTAGTGTCCGCCCCCCCCCCCCCGGTAAATGTAGACCCCTCCCCCGAAAATATCAAGTGCCCCCCCCCCCCCTTGGAGAAAAAAGTCTGGAGGAAACACTGGTTTGTTTTTTACCGTCGTACATAGTTTTGGTTATGTCTATAATATGCTGCTTCAAAGCATTTTGAAAAACCAATAAGACGTCCAGCCAAAGTGAGAGAATGTGTGGACAAAAATATTAGACATTTATATATCTAATCATCTAACATTTGATCATGCCCTCGAACTTACATTTTCTATACTATCAAAAGTGCAACGACATATTTGTCTTTCATTCATTGATTGTATATGTTTTGGTCGCATTGAAAATCGTATTTTAATTAGTTGGTAACAGTAATATATTATTTCTTACAAACAATTGATGCATTTTTTTACAAAACAGAACAGAAATTCATAATAAAGAACATGTAACCACTTTAGTCTACGTATTCTGACACAAGACAAGAAATGTGTATTGCATTTATGAATGTCAAAATAGTTCAGCTAATAATCTTGTTTTCATCAGCGTTTAATTACAACTACGGTATGTAGGAACTATTTAAAATAGTTATCAATATATCTTAAAGTTATTTCTTGTTTGATTATTAATTTAAAATTAAAAATAAATGTACTTATATAGGCCTACTTTCAATAATGCCCTCCGTTTGTCTTTTTCTCAATTAATATTCTACGTTGAATGATATTTAGATCTTAAATATACATGCTCTTTCAGCCCAGACGTGTGTACCATGTGAAGAAAACACTCAGTGTAAAGTCAGCTCTACATATTCAAACAAAGAAAATAAAGCAACATTTTTAATTTGGAAATTCGATGGTATTAGTAGAGCGATTTGTTATACGAGTGGTTATATAACATGCCATCCGTATCCAAGAGTAGATCCAAATTTAAAGTTCTCTATACAATCTGGAAGCGGAAATACAACAACTGAAGTGACTATTTTGAACGCAACAAGAGCTGGTAACGCGTTGCCTCTGGAGAAAAGATGGGAACTTTTCGCACTAAATCAGGACGATTCTTCAAGACTTATTTATACTTGTGATTTTAAGTTGTACAGTAAGTTTCAAATAAAAAATAGTATGTTTACAGTAGTAAAATACTGGAACAAAAAAAACGGGAGTGATCTCCCCTAAACTTTCTCGAATATTCTAATATAACTTGAATATAGACATGATTTTTAATTACTTAAACTTTTAAAAATATAATAGAATCTCATAGAAAAAAGAATTGCGCACCAAGCGAACGCCAAAACAAAATGTGCATAATAGTGCGCAATATTATTAGTACTTTATAAATTTACATGCGTTTTTGGAAAAATCGGAAATAGCGTAAATTAGTACTTCCGGTCATCGGAAATTACTCAAAATTTGACAGAAGGTAGAGAATTAAATCTATAACTTACATTTATCTATCTGCAATAGTACTCAAGTTATAGGATTTTGAAAAATTCAAAGTAGAAAAAGTACCACTTGCAGTGATCGGAAATAGCTCCAAAGTTTTTTAGGAACTACGATTTTGATAAAAAACTAATATATGAAATTTTATCAACCTAGCTGTAACATTACTCAAGTTATCGTGTTTACACACAGACAGACAGACATACGGACAAGATTGCAAAATTATGTTTTTCCGTATCAGTGAGATGTAAAACGTCGAGATTTGTAAAAATCTCGATTTTTTTTTCCACGATTACAAGACTTTCTCTATACTTCGTATATACGAGAAAGTAAAAATGATTCGTGTAGCAAATGAACTAGAGTTTACATGTTTCTGTTACCTCAGCTTGTGAAGAGCCATTAGCACTATCCCAACCTTGACTTATATATATATATATATATATATATATATATATATATATATATATATATATATATATATATATGTATATATATATATATATATATATATATATATATATATATATATATATATATATATATATATATATATATATATATATATATATATATATGGGGGGCCCATATGTTTCTGCGGGGTGGCCCTTTTTTTTCTAGATCCGGCACTGGAGCTTACAGCATCAAAACATCCGATTTTAGATATATCTTCTGATATTTTTTTTCAAAGATAAAGTGAGCAAAACATACTGCAGCCATGAAGCATCCAACAAAGGTTTACGTGTAAAGTGTACTGTGTCACCAGTGTACCCTAAAATCGCTTGTGATTTTAAATTTAATGAGGTGAGTTGTCTTGCTTAAGAAATGATGTTGAAAAAGTGGACAATTAAGTTATGTAGTAATAACATTGTATGCCATTTTTCACCATGCAAAATAAAGTAGATATATAAACTCGTGCGTAACAGTCATGTTCACTTTTTTTCAGGATAGGTATGAAAGTAGTACTGTTTATAATGTTACACGTTTAAACCATAATCCAGTGATGTATACAACGGAATGCTATGTGGATATTCCTGAAGATGTTTTGACTCCAGGTCATTTAGATTATAACATTTCGATATGGCCAGATGTAAACATGAACGACGTAATCCTTAAAGCTGGATTAATCGTAAAAGGAAACATTACACTGGGTAATAGTTCTATACACTTTTTCTCAAACGTAGTCCTTTAAGTTTAATGAAAACATGTGTGTGAACATTTTTTTTCTGAATGTAGAACAACCAAAGCTAAGTTTTGCGAACTGTCCAGTTACTATAGAAGTAGGAAAATACCACCACTGCATTTGTTCACGGGATGATAATTCAGACATCAAAACATGGATTTATTGGACTACTCGCACAAAGTATACAACGAACTTTGATAGAACAGCGGTATTGCGAGAATTTAAAACAAACATCGGTAAGATTGTTTTATATATATATATATATATATATATATATATATATATATATATATATATATATATATATATATATATATATATATAATCATTTAAAGCCATCTATGATTTTCTAGTAATTTATTTGCATGTTTTTCATATACTATGTTAGTTCCTTCTCACTCAAAAAAGTCCTAACACCTAACTTTCAATTTGGGGGTTTAACCTGCCCTTAAAGTATGGCATTCAATTAAATTAAGGTTTTGTTGCAAATTAAGATATGTATCGTTATTAAATGTTAGAATTAATGGCAAAAGTTAATTAAATTTAATATTTCAGTTATACAATTAAGGAATCCTTAGCAGTTCTAATCACAATGCGATTAATACGTTTGCGATAATCACACTGTTTAAAATTTCGGAAAGATTGATCAGTATGAGCATTACAGAGACCCTTTTCCCACGGTCGTTTTTGTTTCTGTGCATGGGTGGCTGCAATGTGAACTTTTGACTTCGCAGATAAGGAGGAAAGAAGGGAACACATTAAACTAAGCAGTCAAACGAAAAACCGAGTTGCACACCCTAATTTAGTGCAATTCTTATGACAATTTACTTTCTCTGTTTAATTACTATATACATAATTGATGTCCATGTCTTTAAAACTGTGTAAAACTACCAAATAATTTATTATTGCTATTTTAAATGTTCAAAATAAATAAAAAATATGTATAATAATAAACAACTGCAATAGATTTAGATGTTAGAAAGGGAAGAATGTTTGATTTGATGTGTCTCATTGTAGTCAACATAACATTCCGGTTGCTTACATTTTTTATAATTTTGTTTTTCTTTAATCCCAATTTTATTTCAGCTCTACTTAAAAGCCCAAACCCCTCAGCCCATCACGCCGACGCAAAAAAATCCTTTGAATCATCATTTAATTACACTTTTGCATTTTCAAGTGTTTTTTTTAAATTAAATTGTAATTAGATGTTTTGTATTAGGTCTATGTCTAAGCAAACCTTCTTAAATGAATAAAAATAGGTTGCATGTAAGAAAGAAGTATTAGTTAAAAAGAAAAAAAAGCACTCTACATAACAGCCAATAGCCAATTAATTCATCATTCAAATCTCAAATGTTGTTGAAAACCTAAGCAAAGCTAGGCAGTATGCCAAGTTGGACATAATACTTTTCTACATAACTAGCTCTGCTTTATCTATATATATATTTTTTAAAGATCCCGTTGAATACACCTGCACTGCTAAAAACGAGCTTGGATGGATGACGATTGTAAAATATCATCCTGTAATAAAAAGCAATGGTAATCATTGATAGTTAACACATTTTTTTTTCTATAGATAATTAGATCTCTTTCAATTGTACGTATATTTAGAATAGTTTTAGGCAAATGTTTGTCATTTTGTTTCTACATAAATCAAAATCAAATTACCAGATTGCCCATTGGAAAAGCCACACAACTGCTCTACAGAATGTTATGGTGATGATGAGTTTTGTCTAAAAGGGGTTGTTTACTCATGCCAGTTCGCAAGTTCTGATACATCGATTGAGCTGTGTCGCATTCTAACTAAACGTGTTAGTGAAGAAATTAAAACTGATCAGTGCAAAGACGTGTGTAAAAGTCGTTTGAATAATTTCTTGCAAGAAGGTACACAAATAAGGCATTAGTTGTATTTAACTTAATATTTTAAAAAGTATACTTTCATTTACTAAATTGTATTAAAATAATAATAAAAACATAACTTATATTTAAGAGAGCTTTAAAATTGCTAGAATCTGGTAAATCAGTTGTTTTACTTGTTGTAATATACACATACATATAAATACATATATGTATATATATATATATATATATATATATATATATATATATATATATATATATAAATAAATGAAATTTTGACTATTTAACTGTAACTACACTCTGGTACAGTTGTTCAAATAAAGTAGAATAAAATATTACTTCCTATTACATAAATCGCTCAAAAGTTGTTTGTCAAAACCAGCGTGGGCGCTGTAACATGTACATATACACCTTTTAGCATCTAACCGACAGTTTAAAGGCCGAACGTACTGAAAAAAAAAGCAATAGAATATATTGTCTTATTAAATATACAATTTTCCCCAACCAAGCTAAAAGGGTACTAACATTAAGGTGTTACACACATACAAACACACACCCACACACACATGAATAAGGAGACATTTGCGAAACTGGGTTTCTCCGACTAATGAATTAGTAAATTGATATTTATCAAAATCTTATTTTGATTTTTTCATGATCACCATAGATCTGCTATTCTCCGTATACGAGAATGAAAATAAAAAGGAATAACTGGAATAAGCTGTGTTTGTTATGATATATTTACACATTTTTTTTTATTGCAGAGGGAAATGACATTATACCATTGCTTCCTTTAATACTGACTCCATGTGGTGTCATTGCCATCATATGTAAGGAAACGTTATCAACATTTAAAAACAGGAAAATGTGAAAATGCATCCATATATTGTAATACTCACGGCACAACTTAACGCATTATATATATATATATATATATATATATATATATACATATATATATATATATATATATATATGGTGACAGGACAAATGGTCTCAGGATAAATGATCTCAGACAAAATATCTCACGGACAAATGATCAAATGATATATATATATATATATATATATATATATATATATATATATATATATATATATATATATATATATATATATATATATATATATATATATATATATATATATATATGTGTATATATATATAAATATACATACAAATACATACACATATTCAGAGGCGTAGCGGGGGGGAGGCGGGTGATGCGGACCTCACCGGTACATTAACTCAACGTTGCAAAATATGCCTGAGGTAACCGGTTTGGTTGAGAATCGTGATAACTTATGTGTTAATCAATGTATTGGGGGGGGGGGGAATTAAATACATCCAGAAAAAAATGTATTTAAATGTATATAGACAAGCGTATACACATACTTCATCTGGCTAATTTTTGGCATGCATCTCTAAAGATGACAAGGCCGTATGAAAAAATTGTCGGTCAGACTCAAAGCCCTCCATGAGGGCTAAAAATGACGCGATTGAAATTCACCTTGTATGAGGTATATATAAATAAATTGACAAACGATCCCTCTAATATTTTGTGAGGTTGAAGACTGAACAAAAAAAAACATTATTTCCGTTGGAGAATTCTTAGGGTCGTTAGATTTGTGAAGATGCCGTATTTTCTTATATTGATAATTGTGAAAAAGTAAACAAAAAATCTTTTTAAAGTAATAATTTTTAAATAATGTTTTTACTATTTTAAATAAAAAAGAAAATTCCAAAAGCATTGTATTAGTTTAAATCAATATTTCGTTATAAATTATTTTATTTATTGTATTAAAATGTTAAAAATTTATTGCGAAAGTGAATTTAAAATAATATGTGATTTATATAATTAAAGAGCCTTTGCAGTTCTAATAACCCTGCAAGTAATATGTTTGCGTATACTACTTCGACGTTAGCATGACATAAAATTACTCAGACTGTTTAAACTTGCACTCCACATAACAGTCAATCGCCAATTAGTTAATCATTCAAATTATCAAAGGTTATTTAAAAACCTATCTATATATATAACGCAACGTATGTGTGTGTGTTTGTTTGTTTGTCTTATATATATATATATATATATATATATATATATATATATATATATATATATATATATATATATATTGTGGGGGAAGTGCTTTAGAATAATAGAAGAAATAGGCGATGTGCTGACATCCTCTCACATCCCTCGCTCTATTTAGCTTTTATTAATATGCATTTGCTTTTTAGAGGAAGTGTTTTTTATTTTTATTTTCTGAGAGGTTTGTTTTATTCAATATGTTGTTAGATTTTACACATTGCTTCAAACGCTGCTTGGCAGAATCGATATTGTGGCTTCGAAAGCTGTGTTAATTGTGTACTTTTTTTGTTATTAGTATAAGATCCCACTTAGGACTAGTTTAGGGGATAGGGTTAGATTTAAGGTAAGTGTGTTTGTACGTATGCATGTAAAATACAATAATATTATCTAACACAAATTCATTTTTTCACAGTCTTAATATTGTTGATACTTTTACGTTATCGCCGAAAAAAAAAGAAAAGTATATGTTTCGAGTAAGTTCTTAAGTTAAAATTTTGAAATTTGATTTACGTTATGCAATAGCATAGGCCTACTATTTAATATTCTCTTTGAAATAAAACATGTTTTTTTTTAAATTTTTTATATATGTTGTTAATTTGCATTTAAAAGGTTAGACTGGGTTTACAATTCTTTGTGTCACTGTAACAACAATATTACAAAATTTATTTCGTAACTACTTCATTATGTTATACATAACTCGAGATTGTCAAGAACAGGTAAAGAAAAATTAATACTATAATAATCTTATCTCTAACTGTTTTAATTAATTTATCTCAGCAAACATGATAATTCGAATCTTAGAAAAAACTCAAGAAAGGATTTTCTGATGGGTGAGAGATATATTTTGTTTAAAATAACCTATTATTTTTTAAAATTTGACTTTATTCTAAGCGACTATTCATATTCTGTCACCATTGTCCTTTAGTTATGTGTTGATTTATTCAGTTGACTAGTTATATTAATCTAATTGAAGAACAGCAGGTCTAAGAAGTATGCACTTAATAAATAGCGCTCAATTTAAATCCAGATAGCAATACAGTGATTAACAACAGTGTTGTCGTCTTTACATGTTCGATTATAAACATGAACACCTAAATAAGATTTCATAAAATTAACCCGAAGGCAAATATTATTTCTCTTTTAGATTGTAAAGCACACTGTAACAGCCAGTTAGAAAAAGTTCCACTAATACCGGTGTTTCTGTTGCACGAAGAACTGGGAGAGTGTAGTGAATCAGGAAAACACAAACATTTTATTTTATGTACAGAATACCTTAAAAATCCTGATTTTCATTTAAAGAAATATAATGTACTATGTGACATTTTGATATCAAAGAAATTTATATTGTGTGGTATTAATTTGACAGTGAGACTTTTTGTGGATTTAGTTAGTGAAGAGCGGCCACAACAACTGATCAATGAAAATAGGGGAGAGCCTTATAAACATACAGGGACAGGAAGAATTGTCAAAGTGCTAGAATCGAGTGAATATTGCAGATGCCCTAAACATATTAAACAAATGGAAATTCAGAAATGGATTGTTTCTATAGCAACGACAACCCACATCGTATTTGATGAGTCTGAAGCTAAATGTACCACAGCAGAATTATTGATAAGTGATAACGGCATAGAAGTATGTAAAGCTCTCAAGGAAGGCGTTTTTAAGAAATGTAAAAATGTTAGGGAGTGTATCGTTCAATATTCAATATGTGATGAAGATTTATCCAACTTGCTCATATCTATCCTCAAAGAACAAAGAGAGCTTTTTAATTCCCTATCTGACAAAAATGACACGTTCTTTGTCATCTCACACCCTCATGGGAGGTCTAAACACATTTGTTTTAGTCGTCCGTCGCGGAACATAGGTTTTAGCACTGTGGCCTGCCCAGGAAGTTATGGAGCTTCAATTCTTCCCTTACACAATGTACCTAAGGCTCAGTTCCCTGTTCATCTTGGGATCATTAATGATAACGGATTCAGCACAGCATGCCAGAAGACTGATGTCCTTTAGAAAGTGTATGTAATAATTTGATTTAACATATTTTATATTGAGATTTATTGATACACTCAGTCATAGTATCCTGATGTATGTATTTTCATAATACAAGTATCAAAATGTAATTGAAAATGTATATATATATGGCTACTATAATGATCGATCGGTTCCAGTTTTTATGTTTTATGTTACATATTTGTATGTGAGTGGATTTCTTATCTGGATCATTACTTTACTTTTTAAAATATAATTATGATTTTTGGTTAATGTGAGACCTATGTGCTATTGCAAATACTTTTGGTTGTACGTTATCCCCAAAATTATCTATATAGCCACAGCTAAAATAACCCCAAGGCCAACATTTAAACATCTGAATAAAATCATTAGAGAGTACAGTCATATTTCAGGCCACAATTACAAACATCAGCCACAACACGTGAAAAACCTACCAGTAAAGAAATTGACATGTCCCATGTTTAAACTACGGAAAGTACATAACTCGAATGGCTTCATTGACTGTAGCACAAAAATAGAATGAAACATAGAATGCCATAAAGAATACACAATACTAATGACGTTATCTTCAATAAGATTCGCTTCCTACATCTTCCAATTGTTGAATGTAAAGAAATGAATTTTCTTATTCAAATTTGATGTATATCTATATATCTGCTTATCAAGGCGTAAGATCTGAATTTATACTATTTTCTCGGCCTAAACTAATAAACTAATAAACATTACTTTAATAAACAACATTGATACAATTAAAATCCGGGTTTTTAACATCGTTTAAGTCTCTTAACCAGTATGTGCATTAAATATGATGTTGTTTTGACTAATAATGTATAAATTGGGTTTTTCTAATTATTTAAATGTGTTGGATTTTTTGCTTTTTAGGTTTTTCTTCGAATTGTCACAAATATCGTTCAACGTTTTGTAAAGATAATTGCGTTTTGACTAATAACTATTTAAAAAAAATATTTTTCAGAACAAGTAAAACATTAAAAATATATAGATATATAATTCATGGTTACCGATGGCTAGTAATTAATAAACTTCATTCAGTGTATAAAATAAATCACGAGAGTATTTAAAATACCTTTTTTACCTACCTTATTGCCTTTTATTAATCCATGCTAGCTATATACGTTTTTTTTAACATCGAAATAAACTAAAAAGTCTTTTTTAAATAAATCATATAACTCGGGAAGTAATTATGATAAACGGGCATAATTTGTATACTTTTTAAAAACTAAATCGAATTTTTTGTAAAAAATAGTAAATGTAGTTTAACACATTTCTTTGAACATTGCGTCAATAAAAATGATAGGTTGTAAAATAAAAATTTAGATTGACAATGATCAATATTGAGTTTTTTTTAATCATCAATTTAGATTTTAGTGCACAAAAGAACACTTAACAAATTATACACAATGGCGTTGAAGTCTTTTTTTTTTACCATAAGCATTTCATTCATTAGACCAGTGGTTCCCAAACTTTTTCAAGGGGCGACCCTCTTTTATAAAAAGTAAGTGACCCGTGACCTCCATAGAATTAAAAAGCCGAAATTAGTATGGAAATTAATAAGCACTAAACAGAGGCGTAGCGACCCTTCCCGGCGCCCGGGGACAAACTTTCAATTTGGCGCCCCCCTCGGGAGCAAATGTTCAATTTGCAACCCCCCCCCTCAAACTTTCGATTTGCTCCCCCCTTCAAACTTTCGATTTGCACCCCCCCCTCAAAGGTCGGCGCCCGGGGACATATGTAACCCTACGCCTCTGGCACTAAAATAAGATTTTCTAGTACACTTTCTGAAGTAGATTGATGTTTCCATTAATAATACACTGACGATAGAAACCATGTTGATTGTATATGATCTTTAATCAGCCATCATGACGGAACAAGAATAGGAAGTCACATGACATAAACAAGGGACATCACTCAAAAACAATATTATAAATATGAGACTAATACAAGAAGAGTGAGTTCCCTTGACTTCACAATTCTCAATATATTACATCCCTTTACCCTTAGTAAACAACAACACAGCTCTCAATAGAACAAATGATAGTCTCCTAAAATCACCAAATATATTGTAACATGAACATTATATGATTTGAATCATTTGGTAGATTACACCCTTACAACAAATGCAAAATATGCTACAACATAATTAAAATACAAAATAATGATGTCAAAGTCCCCTTGACCTTTAAAATCATAGGTCTAGCTTATCTGGGACTTTGATTTTCCTGTTTGACCTTCTCAGTGGCTTTTGATTTGGTGACTCAAGATTCTGACCATCTGGACTCTCTAGCTCAGGAAGTCTAGGATCTAAATTATTAATTCCAGAATTTACATTTTCTGACTCTAGACTACTTGGTTCACTCATATCACAGAACTTGGTTGTGGAACAAACTGAGTTGGTGTGAACTGTTCAGATTTGGTGGGATTGACAGATTCACACTTATTATCTGCACAAGTTATTTTTAACTGGTCTGCATGTCTACGGACAACCAGTCCATCATTTGTTTTTACTTTATAAGACACATGTCCTGTACATTGAACGATTTGACCTGGCATCCATGTTTCCCCTCTCCCATAATTTCTCAGATACACATTCTCATTAACTCCAAATTCTCTTTCAATGGATGTTTTGTCATGATTTACTTTTTATGTATGTTGATGTTGGGAAACAGACCTTTGAACAGTTGAATGTAGTAGGTCAAGGTGAGTTTTAATTTCCCTACCACATAACAATTCGCATGGTGCAACACCTGTTGTTATATGAGGAGTTGTGCGGTATTTGGCTAAGAACCTGTTTACTCTTTCATGGTAGACGTTCTTCTGGGGATTCCGTCCCCCCCCCCCTCACCCCCACTCAGAAGATCTGCCTGAAAGAAGAATCTGAATGCGACTTTTGTCAAGTTCCGTTTTAAGTTAAATTTAAAAAAATTTGTCGCAGGATGTATATCTTTCCAGCTAAATTTTACTTCCCATCACTGTATTTTCTATGCTTTTGGAGATCGCTCACTGTCTGAAAGGAGGGAATGTATGCTAAATAATCGGGGTAAATGAGATGTTCGAGAGGTCGCCTAGATGAATGCAAGGCGAAGCTATGTGCGTTAACTGTTAGAACTTGAAATGTATCCAGTATTATTCCTGTGATTTTATTTTTTGTATTTACGCAGTTTATGTATAAATGCTATATCGAACTTTGGATGTTTCATTTCTGAATGAACTGTAATTTTTGTGAATTGCCCAATTGTAAATAAAGTTGTGAAATGAAACAGCACTTTATCGTCTATCTTGTAAGAATGAAGAACTCACAACAACATCTTGTTTTTACATCAACAATACCCTTCCTGGACAGGGAATGACTAGGATATAAAAAGAAATGTTTTCAACTTTAATAATATTAGATAATCTACTCTGGTTTCGTTCCGGCATCTCGTGTGAAACTGAAGTTTTCAAGCTAAAAATTTGTTCCCTTGGTCAGGCGTCAGAAATAGAAAATAAAGCCTTCCCCCCCCCCTCCCCTTCAATAAACTATTTCGGTCCGTACTATATATTTATATGCATATATGTATATATATATATATATATATATATATATATATATATATATATATATATATATATATATATATATATATATATATATATATATATAGAGAGAGAGAGAGAGAGAGAGAGAGAGAGAGAAAGAGAGAGAGAGAGATAAATACATGCATATAAATATATAGTATGGTATTATATACCCACGGAAAATTTTGCAAAGCGAAATTTTGTATCTGGTAAGCCGAACAAAAGTAAATAAACACAAAAATACAAATGCAAACTCACATGCTTAATCAAAAACGCAAACAGGACAGAAACACAAAAAACAAACACAAAAGAAAACACAGACATAAACAGTTGCAAACGCAAACTCAAACGATAACGCGACAATGGAAACGCAAACGCAAACACAAACGCAAACACAACGCACAAATAAACGCAAACGCAACATGCGAACGTAAACACACAAAAAAACAAACGCAATCAAACGGAAATCTGTAAACGCTTACTCAAAAACCCAAACTCAATCACTAACACAAACGCAAACACTTTATCAAAAAACGCTTTCCAGACAGTCCTCCCCAGAGAGAGAGCCTTCCCATGTTTACTAATTTAACCATCACTTTTAATAACACAAAAATACAAAACAAAAAATTTGAATTCAAGAGATTATAGAAATAATGTAAATAAAAGGCTTGTAAAAAATAAAACTATAACCCTCTGAACCGTCTAAACAGAAAGTAATAAAAATAATTATAACATTAACCGATTACAAACATCATAAGCCCTAACATATAAATCAATGCGAAAGGAATAAAAAAATACTTAAATTGCCATATTTAGCATTAGTTGAATTTCTTTTTAAACTACCTCCTCTGGCATAATTTTAAAATATTTACATTGATTAGTTATTTTCGACCCTACTGTTATTAAAATGAATCCATTTTTTCTAGGTATATAAGGGAAAATATTATTTGTCGTTGTTGTTTTAAATATATTTTTAGCAATATTAGTGTAATATTTTCTTCGCGTTCTTTTGTTAACGTACGCAAAGAGTTAAAACTTTGCAAACAATAAATTGTGTCTTTATAATAAATAAACCCATCTCCAGTTCTTATGACAATGCAATGAAAGTGAAATATGTGTTTCTGATTACTTTTCTGGCTCTAGAATCTGTAGCGATGACGGAAAGATGGAAGGAACGACTAACACTACCTCGCCACTTATGCTATGGACTAAGTGCATCCCCGTGCTTTGCAACGGTGAATATTTTTTAAATGTACCAGCTTGAAAATAGAACAAAGCCAAATACAAGCACAAACACAAAAGAAAACACAAATGCATGTTCAAACACAACGCAACATAAAATCAAACAAAAAACGCAATCGAAAAGGCAAATCTAACTTTAACGCAACACTCAAGTACAAAATCCAACTTTAACGCTAAGGCTCAATCTCTACCAATACTAAAAATTAAGAACGAAGAAGAAGAAGATCAAACAAAATTTAAAATATAAACAACCTTAATCCAAATTTAAATGAAAACTAGGTAGAACAGTCTAAAAAACAATCGGCGAAAAACCGTGCGCGAAGTTCAACACATTCAACAATATTAAAACGAAAATGTTTCAATGAACAGACAAGAACAAAAAACTAATACTCTATATCACCCCATATCCCACTGTAATTAAATCCCTCAGAGTAATCCACACTGCTAAAGTAAGAACATCCCGGCCTATAGACCAGAGCACCACTGCTACCTGGACAGGTGCTGTTTGTATATGTGTTCATGTAATATTTTATCACGTTATGATCCAACCCACTTGTCATTAAATGACCTACTGATACCTGCTTAGAACATCCATGAGGATGTGAAACTATAATGGTCAACCTGTCCACATCACGTCTATTGCTGTATTTGACACATACTTTATTACACATACTAAAAAACCTCCAAACCATTCTGTTCAGTTTATAACCTATCTCTATGTCATGTGTCACACAACAGAACTCACACGCTTCATCCCCAATGTTTGAACAACCCACCTTCCACCCGTAAATGTTGACCACTGGACTTTTATCATCATCAAACCACAACCTACAGCTGGACTGTCTCGCCTCACTTGAATCAAAAACCACATGTGTGGCTGTCACCACAATAACCCTCCACCACACTTTGCTGGGTGTGTCCGAGTAGTTACATTCAGGACATGGACAAGTTCTGTAGTTTTCCAATTCCTCTGTGCATTTGATTACACTTCTTACTGTCCCTGTCCCTGTATGCAGAGAGTTCTGTCCCCTGGTGTTGTAGCAAGGATATGGATCTTTAGTGCCTGGTACAAACTCTGGTCTGTCTGGACTGGTCAACTTAACGGATATCCTGACTGTTAGGTCAGCCAGGGCCTTTGTGAGATCATACAGTTTTTTGTCTTGATAACCAGAAGGAAAATGTTCAACACTTAATTGACAAACAGGTACAAAATTTTTATGGCCAGAATTTTTCTCACAGTTTGCCAGGTATAGCGGTAGATCTTTCACACTTTGACCTTCAAGACATTCTTGTACTTCGTGTGCACCTGTACATTTAAAGAACACAAATAAATTCGCTAACTATACATTCCATATTTGTATTTATCAAAGCCGTAAAATTTACTCTTTGGAGTTATTGAATACAATATCCGTCTTTCAAATTTTGATCAGGCCTAGTTAACTTAATTAATACATCAATAAATACATATTATTTGTAAAGAATTTCGCTGTGTTTTCTTCATCGGCTACATACTATTATAGTCATTTAGAAAGTTCTGATTGTAGAGATCAGCGCGAAGGAGTGTTGGTGCGAATGGTATATTGAAGACATTAGAAGGATTACTCAGTTTTGAAAGATAGTGACGTCTTTGGGTAGAGACTTAGTTGCTGTGCAGTTGTGTGTGAGTTAGCCTTATTTTGGTCGTCGTGGTAGAAGGACGTATATTGACCGGTGTGACTCACTCGTGAGATTGATTCGGGAGATGTAAATGTAGATACCAGAATAAATAAAAAGAGAAAGCTTTGTGTTCGTCTTATCGATAAGTTGTCTAGAATTGAAATGGTACAAAGACTACCTAAGGTTGTAACCTTGTCATATGGTAGTGATATGGTAGATCTATATGATATTGGATCAAGTGGCTCAAACCTCTCAAAGGGATGTCTTCACAGGCCATACTGTTGTGGGCATCTAGACTTGTCTTATCTTCACTAGCCATACTTTCCCTCTCTAACTTGGTTTCTTATTTGGTTTTGTGTAAACTTTGCCAGGCTATTTTATTATCCTTTGCAATAGATGCTCTGGGTACACTTTTGAATATCCTGGCGAATAAAATAAATGTTATTAAAATATGTCAAACCCTTGTAATTACATATCATAAGAAAGAGGAAATAGAGAAAGACGAATCTGTAGTCTTATTGTAAATAGGCTTTTGAAACTGACCTAAATGGTATTTATAGTAGGTCTGTAAACGACTACAGGACATTACCCCCCCGGAATATACCGCCCCCGGCATTTCACCGGCAATTACCCCCTGTCAATTACCCACCCCCGGGAATTACGCCCACCCCTCAAGTTAGAATCCTAACTCTAACTAGAATACTATACCCATATACTACTTTAATCCTAACCTTAAGAAAAAGACCAAAACCTAAGGATCCACCTCAGCCTAAAACTTAACACAAAACCAAAACCAACTTAGACATTGGTTTAAGAGTAACCCTATCCCTTGCCCTAGCTATAGCTATAGCTGACCCTTACCCTAACCCTAACCCTAACCCTAACCCTAACCCTAACCCTAACCCTAACCCTAACCCTAACCCTAACCCTAACCCTAACCCTAACCCTAACCCTAGCCCTAGCCCTAACTCTAACCCCAGCCCTGCCCGGGGGTAATGTCCTACCGGGCGGGGGGGGGGGGTAATTGACAGTAGGGTAATGCTCTCTTCCCGTGTAAACAAGACCGAAAAATAGCAAACCGATGTATTAGGAATTGTTTATTTATTTATTTTTCTTCAATTGAAATATTCGAAATGAAATAAATGACAGCATTTATTTAAACTATCAGACTATAATGTGTAATTAGTTCTAGCATTACATGGTGTGAAATGAGTTTTATGTTCATTCTTATTATTTTCTGTTAATAATTTAACTTACGTTATGTATTATTCGCTTATTAGTAATTTTTTAAAAATAATTTACATTCGCTTTTCTTTTTTTTTTTCAAGTTAACTTTATCTAGAGGAATTATGTAAATACAAATATAGTTAATATATTACGAATACAATGAAAACTTGCTGGTCAACAAACGTATAGGGCGTTATCCTTTATTTTTTAATTCAAACCAAATTCATATTAGGAAAGTTTGCCGGATGTTAATTCTAAAATATCGCAAGTTACCTACTTTATTGAATTATAAATCTAAAAAAAATTGAAAAAAGTTTGTGGTACCTTGTTTACAGTCGGTTCTCAAACACCAGGTCTCCCACTTAATGGTTAAGCAACAAATTTACTTTGAAAAAAGGTTCAACGATCGATCAATATTCGTCGTACCTAACACACTGACATATATTACATTCAAGAGTGGTTTATAAATCCTATTTAAGCTCATAGACTGGGATCAACATACAAGCTTAAGTGCGAATTCAGCCAACGGGCATGGGTTTTTAATTTTAACCATTACAACTCAGCTAACGAAAGCGGAATACAACTATATAATGTAAATATTATAATCTGTATGTACGCGTGATTTGTTATATCCTTGTTTAATTTTATGGGGTTTCCAGAAATGAAGTTACAACTTTCAATTTTGCTTTTGTGTGGCTACATACACCCTTTTACAGCTTCTCTTCTCCCAATATCAATTATCCCCTGATATCCATCACCACTTAAATTAACCCATACAAAGAAGAGGAGTAAACCGCAGAACCCTCTTCTCCGCTTTCGATTATTAAATGACCCCAAAGCTAATAGGCTAAATGATAATTACGACTTAATTTAATATGCTTTAGTATTGGGTAAATATTAGCGATGGGGGTAGGGCTAGGGTTAGTAGTTCGGTTCAGGTAAGTTAGTGTTATAATGTTAGTGAAGTTTAGAGTTTGTGATTAGAGTATCTTCCGGATAATAGTTCTAATGAGGGATGGGGATAGATTATTTTTCTGAATATTCTGAATATAATACAATCATCTTTCTTTTTATATAGAATAAAGTAAGAAATAAGATGTTATTGTTCGAAGTTCGTACAGTTTAGGCAGTCTATAGAATGCCTAGGCATTTTATTAAATGCTATCTTTCTCACTTTTTGTTTTGTTTTGTATATCATATTGTTTTTTGAAAGGTTATTACTAAGGTGATAAATTACAGCGGGTATTTGATAGGGGCATTTAATTTAGGGCCTAATGGCAGGGAATCAGTACAAAAGGCTAGTTTTCTTTCAGGTTAGGGTACAATACAGCCTCAAAGTACATGTCTCTCTTCCCGAATGAAATATAATACATAATAAATTATTAAACCTATTTAGAAAATATATAATTTAAAAAGTATCATCCCAAATAAATTTTGAGTTCGCCAATCCCCAAGTTTCAAATGTCCCACGTCTCACCGACCCCCGTCCACGAAGAAAAAATATCTGAAAGAAACACTTATGCTATATTAATTACAAATGAGCCCGTAGTGCTTAGGGTCACCCGACCGCTGTGGCTCTGATAACCGCAGCTGTGGCAGCTTGACATTTGAATCAATTAGTACACGTGAACCCCTGTTCATGAATATTAATCAACAGACCATAATGACTAACATAGCCGATGTGGAATTCTGAGCGCAAAACCGCACCCTGTCGTATAGCCTTTTCAAGTATTATTCTTAACAACTAGCCAAAGTTTTTTTCACGGTGATCGGACAAAGGGTGATATAATACATAAAAGAAATACAGACACATGAAGACAGAAATGCATACATTCATTTGTATTTATATATATATATATATATATATATATATATATATATATATATATATATATATATATATATATATATATACATACAACTTTTTTCTGTTTGCGCTTTTTTCTGTTTGCGCCTTTTTCTGTTTGCGTTTTTTTTCTGTGTGTGCTTTTTCCGTTGCGCTTTTTGTTTTGCGCTTTTTTCCGTTGCGCTTCTTTCTGGGAACCGCACAACCACATAACTGATATGTAGCTTTCAGAAACGCTGCATCACAGCCTTAAATAATTTCCTTTGTAGACCAACATACTAGAGCCTATGTTCTATATAAATATACGCTTGCTAATGTATATATTAGTAACGAAAATGATTAAGCTAATGAAAAAAGCAATACATAGTTGACCGCAATTTTTTTTTAAAAGTACTTGGGTTATACTTACGTTAGGAAGCTTGAGGAATAATAATCGTAGAAGAATTCTTTTCAAATCGAAACAGGGATACAAAAAATGACCTCTTATAAATAGGAATTGATTTAGATTTGTGTAAACGAATCAACTTTAGAAAAAAAGACAATTCAGTGTATAGGGTGTAGAATTACCCCGTGTGTGGAATTACCCCAGGTTACCTACGAGTTTAATGATTTTTTTGTATCTACACAAACGTTTTCTCCGTTAGCAAAAAGATTGATATATTATTGCACTTGGCACTTGAAAAAAAAAACATAAGCTAATAGGCATAGTTTCTTTCTGTTAGTACTTAAACTGACAAAATTTTTTGTAAAATACAAAAATTTGACATTACATAGTAACGTTAAATTTGTATCGAAAGCTTAAACTATTTTAAAACAATGATCATGTATCATTTTTGAACGACACCAAAGGGACATATGAGTTGATCATGAAGTTCAAAATAATGTATTTTAATTTATCTATCCTATATAAGTGGTGTCAGTAATACCTAACATCTACTTGACAAACGAGAGGAGCGCGAAACGAAATATAGGTCTACATATCGCATTGTGTAAATATAAGCAAAGCTTAAATAAAGAAAGTAAAACTAAAGAATCTTCTTTAGATCTAGCGATGTATGGGGTAGATCAAGCAGAGATCATATGTTACTTGACCTCAGCATATGAAAGGAAAGTCACTTATCTAAGGAGAAGACATTTATTACATATAAAATCAGCAATAAAATATTGATCGATATCAATGAATCCCTTAGCTACGCGGATTCTTTTGAAGGTTTAAGTTTCCACATAAAGAATGTGCGATTTGATACTGTTGCAAAGTAAAGGATTTCAAGTTGCACGTTTGTGTTTGAAAAAAAAGTTCATATACAAGGCGTATTTGGCAATTTACCAATTAAATGTCGTCACCTTAATTCTAGTCACTTCAGCTGAAATGTGCATTAAAAGTAAGCGATACATTCTTATATTAAAACCTGTTGTAATGAGTTAAAAATAAATGTGTACTTTCTATAGGCGCTGTCGGTCATTAGCACATAAGCCGACACAGAGAAAAGTACATAATCCATTATAACTTTTATTGTTAGCTGGGTACCGAGTAAAAAAAATCTCTTTGAACGTTTCTTTTTTATTTTCACTTGGAAATACTACATACTGAGACAACAAAGTTGGCAGAAAACGGTTAACAATTTTTAACTACCAGAAAAAATCAATAAAATTTCCTGGGACAACTTGACTTTTTAATAAAAGCTTTGTAATAATTGTGAAGATAAATTTGGAGCAGTGTCAAACATTACGTTATCGATTTTTCAAAACTCAATGTCTTTTTGAATACAAACCAGTCTTAACTGCCCGTATCGGACTACGGTCTATTTTAACGAAGTCACAACTTTATTTAGCTCAATGGGCTATTTTACATTATAATTGAATATTTGCAAATAATTATTTTGGATTAGTACACCTTATAAGCTATGGTCTTCTTCTGTTGCGTAATGTCTACTTCTCTGGAAATCAAGCCTCGTCAAGTTTTGAAATTAAAAGGTTTAATTGGGACATACTCATGTTATCAAACCACAACAATACATTTACTGCCTAAGTAAGGCAAGCTCTCTCTGGCATTTTACAGTACCTTAAAAACTTTCAACAGCTACTCTACAGTCAGAGGTGTAGCGAAGGGAGGGGGGCGGGGTACATATGTTACCGGGCGCCAACCCTAGGGGCGCCAAAATGGGTTGGAAAAAAATTTAAAAGCTTATTCTAATTGAAGTTTTGGATTATAAATATAAAAAAATATATATGGGGGGGGGGGCAATTGCAACAAGTCGCTAAGTACTGTCTATTTTTATCTCACGTAAAACAGTAAAATCATGTTCTACTTTTCCGACATGATAGCTTCACAGTGTCCGTTGAATCTGATCACGTGATCGTTTGGAAAATATTTACTACACTTGCATACAATTATGTTCAGTATATTTATTAATTTCTTTCATTTCTGCTAATTATTGTCGTCATGCAATGTCACTTCTTTTGTAACCAATAACAAAATTCTCCCTCTCGCTCTCTCTCTCTCTCTCCAGCCGATCAAACACTATTTTCTATGAAAGACTCAATGAAATTATCAATGACAGAGTCAATGATAACTACCGCTCTCCTGTATTTTTCTCTTAAGAAACTCAATGATAAAGCATTAGTAGTTATAAAGAGAGAGAGAGTTTATCAAAACGGAAATAATTCAACTCGTTTAATTAATAAAGCGTTAAACGTAATTATTAATTATTAATTTCTCAGCGATTGATACAATTGTTTAGGGACAGTTAAACTATTTTTTTAAAAATATAGATCCTCGATCTTCATTTATAATTTATTAATTAAAATAAGATTTTTAAAAAATAATTAAAACAGGTCTTTGTATTATATTATTAAAAAAAACAACTAATGAATATAATAAATAATTTTGACTATTTCTCATTCTAAACCTATCGAATATCTTTTTTTTTTAAATGCAAGGTAATCTTTTATAGAACCTACATGATTAACTTTTCTTCTAATAATAAAAAAAAAACTCTAAATAAAAACTATTATTCCTACAAATATTAGAGTAGTCTCCCTTGACAGTTTCTATTCGAATGTATTTTGTGTTAATTTTCGTTATGAAATACAGTTGACTTTTTAAATAAATTATATAAGAAAACAATCTATCTCTGTGTATACTTATTTTAAAAAAATATTATTACAATAATTAGAATAGGTGTTACTGGTTAAATAGCAATTATTCTCATTCTAAATCTTTGGCTATCGAGTTTCATGGGTTTTTAAATTTAAGATTATGAACACATTGGCTTGACGAAAATGATTATATACACTTAAATACATACTAAAATTTACTTTTGTTAATAAACCTACACTATTTTATGCACACATACAAAAAAGAATATTTTAGCGGCAGTTACAACGTCAAAAAAAAAAAGGAAACTCCTTTATACTGAATAGTTCTACGTAACAACAAAAATGTAAAAATACATAGTCCTAGAGCACACTAACACATACATATATACATACGAAGATATGTGTGTGTGCAAGTAGGATGTGAGGTGTGTAGACAGGCGGGGTGGAAGGAAAGCAGTTTGGCAGGAATAACGGTAGGTAGGAAAGTAGGTAGGCAGGCAGCAGCGCAGGCAGGTTAGTAGATAGGTAGGTACGTAGGCAGGGAGTTAGGTATGTAGGTAGGTGGGCGTAGGTAGGAAGGCGCCTCACTCGGTATAGTGAGCGATTATAGTAGCCCATCATATTCATAGCGTTTCGCAATTATTAAAACGAACAAAGGTACCATAGTACTCACGGGAAAACCCGGGGAGCTAAATGGAACCCTGCCAGGGCGCCACCAAATCGATTTTTTTTTCGTAGAAACCACGACAGGGGTATTAGCATTAACTTCTCAAATTTGAATGACAAACGAATGAAATCTTTGATAATGCTTAAACAAACCCACATATTCGTTTTTGGGGCGCGGGTTTGTCCACACTGCCGCCTAGACGCACCAAGGCTCACTGTATGAAAGCCTTGAGTGTACGTTAATCAACCTCTGTAATAGTGAGGTAGAACACACATTGGCGACCGCCCATGTGTTAGAGACGCGTCCCTTGGCGCTCCAGGGAGCCACTGGTTATATTTCCGCAAGGGCGCCCCTAATTCGGTTTAATTATAAAATGTCGTGTGCCACCGTGTCCCTATTGTAGGGTGCTCCTTAAGGAGGCACTCTCTGTAGAACCCGGGGCGCTCGCTGTCGCCAACTGCCAGGGCGCCGGCGGGCGCTCATTATTCTACTTAGTGAACATTTATAGTAGCCCATCTAAACCGTAGAGTCGCCCGAGATGGGTCTTGGCCGCTCTGGGCCACTCAACCGCCGGGGAGCTGGCGGATGAACCTGGTGTAGTTTTATCACTGAATCTCAGAGGCGTAGCACCATTCCTGGCGCCTGGGAACAAATTTTCAATTTGGCGCCCCCCCCCTCCCGCCGGAGACAAACTTTCAATTTGGCGCCCCCTCCCCGTATTTTTTAAATATTTATAATGCAAAACTATAGCTAAAATGAGCTTTTAAATTTTTCCAACCATTTTGGCGCCCCTAGGGTTGGCGCCCGGGGACATATGTACCCCCCGCCCCCCTCGCTGCGCCTCTGCTGAATCTAGTATTACCTATGACCGCAATTGATGAGATAGCCCCTCTGGATTCCCCTCTGGATTCTGAGCTCATAATCGTATAATTAGAAAAATCGAACCCTCCCAGGGTGCCACACTTAAGAATTTTTTTCTTTCTCGAAACCCTTTTCACCAACTACCCAAAATTTTATGACTCTCGTACGAACAGTGTCAAATTGCATCTGGCTTTTATTTTTATGGAGAAAAATTGCATTGCTTCCTGTCAGAGACCCCAGATCGAATGGGGCGCCAAAAGGGGTAGACAATTTTTAAAAAAATCCTCATTCTTCAGTAAAATTTAAGAAAACAGATTTATACATGGCTGATATCCTCAATTATTTTATATAGGGGAGTGTATGTAGGGATGGGCGCCTTTTTGCCAGCGTTTGAATAGGGTTGGCACATAATTGATAGTTCGCCCCGGCTGCCGGAATAGGTTGCTACGCTTCTGCTTCCTGCTAGGGTGCCGCCCTGGCGAAATCTTTCCGGGGGGGGGGGGGGCGTGCGGACACTGTTAAAAGTATTTTTTTCTATATAAATTCCGTTTCGTTCGGGGGTGGGGGGGGGGGTCGATAGACTTTCTTCGGGGGGTGGGGGGGGGGGCTCTGCTTCCCCCCCCCCCCCCCCCCCCCCCCTCCGAATAGATTCCTGGAAAAAAACTCTGTTCACAAAGTTTTATGGCGATCCGATGAAAAGATGTAGTAATTCATATAGGACAAACAGATAAACATACTTTCATTTCTATAAATATAAATAGATATATAGGGCCTACTTTAACTAGTGTCCGCATACCCACACCCGGAAACTTAGTCACAATTTTCTTTGTTACATTTGAACCCTTTAGGTTAATCAATATTAACAAAATTAAACAAGATGCAACAAATACAGTTAACCAAGAAATTGAACAAATAAAATTCACGTTATCTTTTTATTGTTTTTAGATATAGAGTAGTAACAGACTACCTACAGGTCCTAACTCGCGACGAGGTACACATTTGTATTAAAACACACATCTAAGACATTTTCCATTTAGGTGGGTTTTGCAGTACAGTGGTTTCTTAAGTCGTGGACAAGTGATTGCGCTTATCTCTGTTGAGTAGCTATGTATTCTGTCCTATATTAGACACATTTGTAAATATCTGTCACAATATGGGCATAGAGATGATATAACGATAGCTTATCTTTGCGGACGACGCTAAACTTTGGCATCGACACCACGGCCTACAAGTTCAAATTCGGTCCTTCAGAAATGTTTGAAGTCTCTAGATTAAAACTACTTTTCTCTTTTATGTACCTACTGACCACATCACATGCATTTGTTCTGAAAGTCTAAAAACAGAGGCACAAATATATCGTCTAGACTTGTGAGGTCTACAGATTAGGTATTTTGGCAGTAATCTAAGCCCTTGCCTGTTCTGACTCAAAGCCTTATTCTTTCTCTAACATGGGATTGGGTTTTTAAGGCGGCATAAAGCTTTATGTTGTTCCTTTTTGAGTACACTAGATTAAAAACTAACGTTTTCAGATGCCTAAAGATGTTTAACCACTAATTAATCAGAATAATGGGTCAAGATTTCAATTCTTGGTTTTGGGACACGTTAGTTGCCGGGGTTGAGCTAATGTCGATAGCATAAGGACTGTACCTTGATGCGGGCGTTTTATTTGTTGCCCATCGTAATAATTGAATGGTTGATGGGGCTTCTTCAAGGGTTTGATTTGCCGTAATGTTAATGATATCATGCATGTGCGGCTTTTCTAAGAAGAAAATGCGTTTAAACACTTTTTAGTTATGCTTTTTTTAAATAGGCCTATATTTTACGACAACATAATCGTAATGAACAATAAAATGAATTTAAACAACTTTAGAATACACCTGTTTCGGCTAACATGAATGTTATTCTTCAAACTAGTAATGTTAAACGTGTCTTTTTCGCATTTTCGACTTATAAGCAATACAGTAAATTCCGATAACGTCCATATGCATACAAGCAATGGCGTAGGCGAGGAGGGGTTTAATAGTGATTTAATAATGATACTTTCTTAACCCTCTACTGGACATCATGTTTGGTACCTTGCCCCGGCAACTGGGTGGATTTGGATTACACCCAAGTTTTACTTCATAGTAAATGGCTTCAGTTTTAATTATTGGAGTTGGTAGCAACATTGACACAGTTGAAATCACATTAATTAGTATATAATTTACCATTACTATCAATAGGCCCTACTTAATTGTTTAATGTTGCTGGATATTAAGCCTGGTAGGTATTTATATTTATTAATTTGTACAGAAACAAAAAAAGGATTCCCAAACAAAGTTTTATTTTTCAGAAATAAAGAAAATGATACAAATCAATAAAGAACAGTTTTCAAAAGAATTTGTATAAAAGTAATTATTATAAAATAAGAATATAGCATTGCATAGATAAAAATAAAATACTTGACACAAACAATATGAGGAATATTTTTTATCAGAGAAGAGAAAAATATATGATGTAGTTTGAAAATAATAATGTACAGAATGTAGCTTTTGCAGATTAAAATGAAAATTCTCATGCCTATATAATTTATTGAGTAAATGAAGCAAGACCCAAAACAATAGGCTAAATATGCATGGGACAGGCATTGAAAACTACAAATTGCATATAGTGAAGGTTACCCTATTTATTGGCTATATCCACAGTAAAGATTTATGGCTTTATTACCTGCTTGTAAAATTGTTAAGGAAAAAGTAAAGTATTGTTAACTTTTTATGGCAGACCAACTATGGGCTGTGTTCTGGGAACATGTCATCTGTAAGGGGCATTGTTCTCGGCACATGTCATTTTTTGTGTTCTCGGCACATGTTGCCATTTTGTGTGTTCTGGGAACATGTTGCCATTTTGTGTGTTCTGGGCACATAATGACATTTTGTGTGTTATGGGAACATGTTGCCATTTTGTGAGTTCATGGAACATGTTGACATTATTTGGCTGTGTTCTGGGAACATGTTGCCATTTTGTGTGTTCTGGGAACATGTTGCCATTTTGTGTGTTCTGGGAACATGTTGCCATTTTGTGTGTTCTGGGAACATGTTGCCATTATGTGGCTGTGTTCTAGGAACATGTTGACATTATGTGGCTGTGTTCTAGGAACATGTTGACATTATGTGGCTGTGTTCTGGGAACATGTTTGTTTCATTTTTAAATATTATAATAAAACATTTTTAGAAATTCTATATTAGGAATTGTGTATATATATAAATTTATATATTTAATAAGACAATTGGATGAATTATAATAAACAGCAAAAATGATTCAAATAAGTTTAGAAGTATTTGGCTTGCTGTCCTAACAGTGAACTGTATTGCGAGCTTGTTTCCCTAGTGATAACCCATGTTTTTTGTGCGACCCTTCCAATCAAGTATCCAGCTTTTTCTTGGCCTGTATCAAAATGCTGGTCAGACTTGCTTGACTTGTGTATCACAATATGATTTTGAATGTTTTTCTGTAAATGAAATAAAGGCAAAATATTTTGATACTTTCTTTTGTGGAACTTGCAAGAAAAATAAATTACAAATTTATATTACTATCTCTAATATTTCTTTACTATAACTAATTACTTTGAAAAGATAAAGCACTGAACATGATGAATAACAAGAAACAAACATTATCAGCAAAGATTATAGATTTAAAATTGTGTTCATTCATATTGAAGATTAATGAAGTAGACTATCAATATTTACCCTCTTGATGGCTGATACTTTGATTTGATGTCTTTACTTTAAGCTTACACATCAGTCTCTGTGTGGTAAAATATGAAATAATATGCTTCAATAAAACTGTTTCAGTATATTAATTATATTAGATAAGTACATAGTTTTGAGCTCTATAACAATATGTGTTTCAATTATCATTCAAATATAATACCCTCTATGTTGTACACTCACTGATTTATTAGAATTTTAAAAAAGACAATAATTAATAAAATATTTTGGATTAAAATCCATTATATTTATTATAACATACAATGCTATCTCTTGCTATAATAATTACTTTAAAAAATGGGTTATGCCTATAGTACAGTTACCTGAGGATGAAACTAGGCACAGTGTATAGTCCACGGAGACTGATTAATATCCCTTGTAATTGAACATCAGTTGTAGTTATGAAATCTGGATGGCCAAACACACACTCATAGTCCTGAAAAGCAATTTACACATAGATTAGCAAGAATATCTCACAAATTATTAAATTAAAGCCAACCCCTATTTAGTGCAATCCATCAAAGTAGTAGCATTTTTGTTAAGTTGTAGAAATAATATAAAGTAATGTTTGTTCTGTGATTTACATACTTTTATAAAATAGCAATCAAATTATATATATATATATATATATATATATATATATATATATATATATATATATATATATATATATATATATATATATATATATATATATATTCATTGTAAATTTTAGCTATGTCTTGCTATTAAATTTATTTACTCGACTGATCTAAACTCACTTTATTTAAACATAATATAGTGGATAAGTATAGTGATTTTATTATTCAGCAATAAATAGCAGCCCTAAAAAAATTTAAATAGTAACGTTTGCGAATGAACACATTAAATTCTATGTATTTCCATTTCTATGTCTTTCCCAACTTGATGCATATTACTAACCAAGCATTAAACTATAGTCCTAAACCTGACTCTAATTACCATTTATTGGACAACCTGAACCTTTGCGATACCATGTTATAATATATTATTTTAAAAAAGAGCTTACCACTAATTAGTAAAATCAATTGTTTTTAGTATTAACTGAGCCGCATACTATCTGCTGCTATTGTCATCACCAGAAATCCAGTATGTTGGCAAAGATTAGTCTCTAAGTTCCCTGCAACCTCTTTCCTCTCAAGTGCGGAAAACACTGAAATCATTAGGCCTAATCATTATTTCATTATGCCTAATAGTTTAAAGGTACTATTAAAGTAGTACTAAATAGTACGAGTCTAAGTTACTATAGGTCTAATGATAATTATTATTGTGTATGCTTACATGCTTTAAGTTTTATGCACAATATTGGTATATAATATATAGTCTATAGTATATAGCCTAAGCTATAGAGTATATAGGCCTATGAGCCTAAATATAACAGCAGCTTGAATAATGCTTATTAGCATGCATTCACTATAAACTATAAAGATAATCAAATATTTCAATTTAATTAAATTATAACTAATAGGCCTAATAGTAAATAGGCTTTTTTCTTGTGGCAACAAATTTAAAGTATAGGGCCGGCAGTACAGTTATAGTATAGGCCTACTAGATTCTATATTTAAGTATGTGGGCTTTTCATTCCAATGCACCACAATAGATACCACACATGATCAAGCTGGACCTCTGATCTAAAGATTTAATAATTGGGCCTAACAAACAGTGAAACTACAATAAAAATCATGTAAATTACTAATTTAACCTTCTTACCTCCGCTTCTCTAGATTCCTATTTATTTCCTTCAAACTTTCTTTTTATGCAGCCGTATGATTAGATTCTAGACTATATTCTAATAAACATGAAATAACTACTAACCAGAACACTAGATCTAAATTTCTATATTCTATGCAATATGTATTAAACCTATAGGCCTAATATTTATTTTAAATTCCTATGCGATGTGTCGTGAACTGTAGGTTTCATGTTATTTTTTTAATGGCGGAAATCAGTTTAAAATTTCGTTTCCTTCCTTTTGTTATTCTATTTATAGATTCAAACTGCTTAGAGACGGAGCAATTATCATTGAGTTAGTCGGCTGATCCAAACAGGAAGTGCGGGTATATCTATTACTTACTCAGTGATCAGATCATTGACAAAAACAGAGATAGCCATTCGCATGGGGTGCTCTCTCTCTCTCTCTCTCTCTCTCTCTCTCTCTCTCTCTCTCTCTCTCTCTTCTTTATATATATATAGTTGTTTTGTCACATTAAAATGAAACAACATATCATTATATATGGTTATTACAAAGGTCATTATAATGTATGAACAGGCAGATGGCAATTTAAACAATTTTACATGCATGTTATCTGTATTCCTGAAGTTGTAATATACCCGTCAGATTACAGATACTTAAAACAAACACCCTCGGGTTGAGAAAAAGCAACGAGATTATTACCCAGCTAACTGAATGGGAATGTACGTTTTTTTTTTTACATGTTGAGTGATTTTATTTGTCAAGCATCATGTCTTACATGTGTAGTCTCAATCGCTCACTAAAATTATTCGACATGAAGCAGGCAGTAATAATAAAACTAAAAGAATGAAAATTACTACACAAATTCCAAAATCGTTTTAGAATTCAAAAGTTTAGAAATAACACACTTTGTGTTGTTTTTATATGTTTATGAAAAACATTTTCCATTAAACCCTTCATTGTGAGACATAAATTGACAGCATATACGAATAACTTGGAATTTAGATTAACACATATACATTTCTTCATTTTACAATTTATGTCAAACACATAAATCATGTGATAACTGTAAACAGTAACCTACTGATTTAAAAAAAAGAAATAATGTCATTATCATCATAACAAATTTATATCTTAATTTACTGAGCGAGAAACGAAAATTTATAACAAACTTGTGTTCGTGTTCGGGCAAATTGATTACAAAATGACTGCGGGGCAACTGTAAAATTATTGCGTGACCGCGTAGCTGAGAGGGAACATTGCTCACTAAATAGGTGAGGTCGACGGTGTAAGTGATGTACGCCAAACAGATTGACCAAAAAAGATGTAGGCCTTATCGTTGTGGTGACTATATGTGCTGGGACTGGAGTAGGTCATTCATAGGTTTGACATTTTCCTCGATACTTTGGGGTAAAGCCCTATCATTGTGAAACGTCGGGTTGGCTGTATTATGTATAGGCGCATTCTTTCATGTCATTTGAAAAGCGGATTTTCATTTTCACCCAGTAGTGAGGCACGAGTTTGCATGACGTATATTTGTATAACGATTGAATTTTCCATCCACCAAAAACGTGCTATGATCTTCCAACAATAGAAAAAGCAACTCAGGTCGTGGTTTTAATTTTAGTAACTGACAGAGCCATAGCTAAAATTTTCTTTCAAATCAGTTTAAAGCCCAGGCAAAAATTGTATTACCACAGGTGGACAGAAATTTGGAATTAAATCAATAATATACCTCAAGCGGTGCAGATTGCAAAAAACTTGTAACAATAAAATTGGCAGCCATTCCAATTTTGACAGATAAGCTGATAATTAATGAAGTTTTATTTCCAATGTAAGCAATGCTCGAAATACGAAATGCGTGTTGATTTTTAATCTTAAGATCGCTGTCGTAAAAAGCCAGAGTTTCTTCCAGGCATCTCTTCGGGGGGGGGGGGGGGGGCGAAATTTTTTACCGCCCCCCCCCCCCCCCCGAACGAAATGAAATTTATATAATTTATATACAAACTATATACTTTTAACAGTGTCCGCCACCCCCCGAAGAAAGTCTACCGCCCCTCCCCCCCCCCCCCTAAAATTTCAAGTGTCCCTCCGGAGAAAAAAGTCTGGAAGAAACACTGAGCAGAGCAACGAGAAATTAGGCAAGAAGTGATCAAAAACACATATTTTAGGTTTCATTTTCAGAACATTATCGGGAAGTCACTGAATAAAGTTCCTCCCCTGATGTTTCATCACAATTCCTGCTAATGTAATACTTTAAAAAAAAATGTATTTAAATAGTTTATGAATTAAGCTTGGTTAATGCTTGTAGCCAATTTAACAGCACCTATTCAACGACAATTCTGTTTAAGCTTACAGTGACAATGTTAGATTAATATTGTTGTTTTTGTGTATTTGGTTAACTTGATTCGTATTGGCCTGCTCAGTGGCTCTTCATTCATAAATAGCTAATTACTTCATCATGTATAATTCACGTTCCCCGTGAATGCGGTATGTATGCTATCTTTTAGTAGTTTTTACAATAATGTATGTCTGATAAAAGTAACAAGACCCATAACGATTGTTGCCTTTATCAAACATAGTGAATAACAAGACAGAAAAATTGTATAGGTTGAAGAAGCAGTAATAATTGGTTTAATTTTAGTGACATCATCCATGACATTTATATAAGAGTAAGCATCGATACAATGCTCTAAACTTCCTAAATAATTCCTAAATAATTTAAATTTTTTAAAAACATACCTCAAACAATGTAAATATTTGTTAATCTTCACAATATTAACGCAAGTAAAGACTTTCAGTTTATGTATCCTTTTGTGTCTAGTTTGAATATAAGTATTAAATAGAACGCCTTTAAAAAATGTTTTTATATTGTTAAGTTATAAAGCTTTTTTTTTCTTTGTTTACTTGAAACTTTAAATGAGAAAATTCTTTACTTGGCTCATGATACTGATGTTATATATTGCCATTTAATGCGTAGTATAAAAATCGATACCCACATTGATAGAAAGATCATATTCAATTTTTCTGACGCAGCCATTAATCCACACTCGTTCCGCTTTACTTGTGGCATTGAAAAAAAATGACAGCCGTTCAAGTTTAGGCAGCTATGTCAGACGTATCGATTTTAAAATTACATTTAGTATAACAAGATCGTGTGTTTTTGCACTTGTCCAAATCAGCTCTGTTATTGGCGCTTTAAAAGTTATGTCGCCGACTTTAATTTTGTGGATCAGAACTGTAAAGTAAACAGCAGTTCTTCCCCGTCTCTAACATTATGTTTTGTACCAAACGTCAAGAAGGCCTATATGTAACGTAAATAATTCTCTTGAGACATAGCGATCAATTGGGTCTCGCAATATGAAGAGATGGTGTGGTCAGCACTATGCCTAGCCTTTCGAGCTAGCATTCAAGCGCACTACCTATAGACTAGTCCGCCCCCCTCTATTTAAATTATATATTTATTTTCATCTAGGACTAGTTTATTAATTTCATTATTAAAATAGTTTATATTTCAATATTACTATTTTTTTTATACTTTCTTCTCGAATGTAACACGAGGGAATCTCAAAACAAAAACCAACATTGTTGTCTAATAGTCCAACGGTCATTGCTTAGAGAATGGCAACCACTTTTTTTCAGGTTCATTTTGTTGACTGTATCTGTATATACTTAATTTTAAAATTAAGAGAAGGAAAAACATAGGTGAATTACTTGGTTTTAATAAACTTAAAAACAATTTATTATCTTTTCAATCTCTTGCGTTTATACGTTTCAAATGTTCACAATTTGTTAATAGTTAAACAACATATCGAAAACCACAGAAAGCAGAATGTGAAATATCAACATAAGATGCATACTTAAAGCTTACTTATTTCTAAATTTAACACGACTGCTTGTCAAAATTCTATAAAATAAAGTTTAAAAAGTATTTTATGGACATATCGACCGAAACATCAAAAAGGAGTTTAGTGAAAATGGTGTTTAATAATAAAGTCGTGTTTGCCCCAACACCAATTCACGACTTACTTTGTTGATACTCGGTTTGCTTAAAAAATTAGGGCACTGACAATTGCTACTTCGTATTATAAAGACATTACATACACAATGTTACTTTCACAACATTTTATTATTTAAAAAATAACCCGTTTGACATGATTTATAATTTAATTTCTGTCTAAATATCGACCTTTGATCAATACAGGTAGTTTAATTCAATTAATGGAAATATATTATTCTAAGGATTCTATTTATAACAAGTTGAATGTCTGAGTTTATAAAGGCATGTGTTTGGTTACAGGGCCGTCGTTAAAACAGCACATTCGTGTGCTGGAATCTAGACTCATTTAGTGTCCCAATGAGTAGTTTAAAAATTAAGATTGATTTTTGTATTGAGCTATTTAATGTGCTGATTTATTAATCGAACTGGTTGCCAAAGGAGACGCA